CAAATTTGCCAAGATTTTCTTTATCGTTTTGAAAACAAAACATTTACTTCCAAAAGGATGAAAATATCCAATGTTATGCTTTTATTTTTTAAAACTTCATATGGAGTTTTCTTTAAAATAGGCCTAATCATTACTCGATTATTAACATAACAAGCGGTATTTGTGGTTTTCGCCCAAAAATATTTTGGCAAATTGTTTTCACAAAGCATGGTTCTAACCATTTCTTCCAAAGTTTGATTTTTCCTCTCAATAACTCCATTTTTTGAGGGGTTCTAGGTGCTGAAAAATTATGGCTAATACCATTAGAATTACAAAAATCAGTAAATCCAAAATTTTCAAATTCATTACCATGATCACTCCTAACACTAGTTATGGAGTAACCTTTTTCATTTTGGATTACTTTTGAAAACGTGATGAACTTTTCTAATGCTTCATCTTAGTACTTAAGAATAGAACCCAAGTATACCTAGAATAGTCATCTACCAATACAAAGCAATATTGTTTTCCAACCAAACTAATAGTTCTAATTGGCCCAAAAAGATCAATATGGATCAATTGTAATAGTCCACTAGTTGATACATCATTAATGGACCTGAAGGAAGCTCTTTGATGTTCTCCTTTAGCACATGCATCACAGATTTTATCTTTATCAAATTTTAGCTTTGGCAACCCTCTTACTAAATCTTCTTGAATTAGTCGTTGTAAAACACTCATGTTAGTATGTCCTAGTCTCCTAAGCCATAACCAACTATCATGCTCATCCTTAGCAACTAGGCATAAATTAGTCATATTAATAGAATCTAAATGTACCATGTAAATGTTTCCTATTCTATGACCAACAAGCATAATTTGATTAGATGCAATGCCAATGACTTTACAACCATTTGTTTCAAATAAGACATTGTATCCTTTATCACAAAATTGACTAATACTCAATAGATTATGCTTTACCCATTTACATAAAAAACATTTGTATGGAAGAGGTATTACCTATAGTACCTCTACCTCCAATGTGACCTTTTGAATTATCACCAAAAGTCACCTCTCCTCCATTTTTGTCGTTAAGCTCGATGAACCAGCTCTTGTCTCTCGTCATATGTCTTGAGCATCCACTATCAAGGTACCATGAGTTTGAACTTGTTTCTTGTGCCTTGTAGCAATGCTCTTTTCCCTACAAACATAGATTAATTTTTGATTTTTGGTACCCAATTTATTTTGGGTCCATATTCATTAGTCTCCAAAATTCTAGTCCCCTTGGGTATCCATTTATGTAGGATATCCTTATCTTTAGTAGTAATGAGTTCTTTAGGAACCCATATACTTCTAACGATTTTTCCATTAGAGGTTCTTCGGGGACCTCTATGATTGTAGTTTTTAAAACTTTTTCTAAGTTGGATTTTGAACTTTTTCCATTTTCAAAACGTTTTGTTCCAACTTTATCAAAAGAAGTTTTAAGATCATCAATTCTCTTTTGATGATCATCGTTTACTCTTGAAAGTAAGTTATGCAAATCAGTATTTTTCTTTTCAAATTCATCTAATTTGATTTGCAATTCTTTGATCTTACTTTCAAGATCATTGTTGGTCTTGGATATGAGATTATTTTCATTTTCCAATTTTTGAAATATCTTTTTTGTATTTAAAAATAATTTCTCATAATCCGAAACCAACTCAGTATATTCCTCTACTAACTCATCAAAAGAATAATCGTCAAAATTAGATGAGTTAGAGGCTACCTGAGAGTTTTCCCCGATGGCCATCAAGCACAAGTTTGCTACTTCTTGTTCCTCTTCATCGAAACCTTCATCATCGTTCCATGTAGCCATATGAGCCTTGTGCTTCTTCTTCGATTGACCCTTTTTCTTTAATTGTAGGCAATCGTATTTGACATGCCCTGGCTTTTTGCATTCGTGGCAAATAATAGGGTCTTTCTCATTCGATTCGTTTTTGAAACCTTCATTTTTTTGAATTTTCTTCCTCGGTTGGGCTTCATTAATTTTCTGAACCGTTTGGCAAATAATGTCATTTTCTCGTAATCGTCATCTTCATCCGAATCACTCTCATCTCTTGTGGATTTGAGAGTAACTCCCACGTTCTTCTTTTTCTCCGTCTCCTTCTTTGGCTTGTTAATCTTCTCGAGGTCTACCTCATCTTGAAGTATCATTTCATGAGTGAGGAGAGAGCCAATTAACTCTTCAAGATTTAAAGACTTTAAGTTTTTAGCCTCGATGATTGTCGTTTTTTTTAATTGCCAAGCTTTCGGAAGAGAGTAAACTAACTTCCTCACAAGCTTCTTGTTCGGAATGATCTCTCCATATGATTTGAGACCATTGACAATCGTTGAAAATCTATCCGTCATAACTTTGATATCTTTATCCGGTTTCATCCTGAAATTTTCATAGCTATGAGTTAGGAGACTAATTTTAGATTCTTTTACCTCGTCTGTGCCTTCATGAGCGACTTGTAGTTTATCCCTTATCTCCTTGGCGGCTGTACAAGATGAAACTCTCCCGTATTCATCTGGTCCAATAGCACAAAAAATAATATGGATAGCCTTTGAGTTGAGTTGGAACACTCTTGTCTCTGCTTCACTCCACGTTCTTGAAGGAGTGGAAGGTATGTTGTATCTGTCTTCTATGATATTCCATGCTCCCATGTCACTTTCTTGAAAGAAATACCTCATTCTGTTCTTCCAATAGGCATAGTTAGCTTCATTGAAGAAATGAGGCTTGTTGACGGGCATTGAATCAAGACCAACGTTGAAGTTTGAAGTGGAGGCCATTGATGACTTGATTATCGATATAATTCTTCCCAAATCGACTCAAGTGGTGATTAAACCTTCAAATGAGTGAGGCTCTGATACAAATTGTTGAGTTAATTGATCGATGAAATAGCCAAGAGGGGGTGAATTGGCAATAAAAATTTTGATGGAAGCTTTTGTAGAAAATAGAAAATAATTGCACAGCGATTTAGAGTGGTTCGACTTTCTCAACCAAATTCTATGTCCACTACCTTAGCTATCCAAACTAAGGATTTTCTACAAATTCACTAATTTGTCTTTCTTTTGAGGACAAAGAGTAACCTTACAAATCCTTCAAGAATTATACCCCAAATTCTTGAGAACACTCTCTCCCAAAGAGAACAATACAAATTTCGAAAAACTTACAGAAAACCCTCACAAGGTAACTTGTTTGCACAATTCTAGAACAAAGAAAGAACACTCAATAATGAATAAAATTGAGTACAAATGGTGTTCTTGAAAGCAAAAATAATATTGAATGAAAAATAGGCTTGAATAGCTCAAACTTGATGTTTAAGGCTTTCTTTTTTATTCTATCACAATTGTTGTTGATCAATGGCTCCTAAGCTTGTTTAAATACACCTTGAATCAATTCTGAACGTTGGGGATTATTGGTGAAGTCAATATAGTAGTTATAGTGTAATTATCAATTAATAAAACAGTTGGGAACGTGTGTGCATCGAGGCATACACAAGGTGCATCGGTACACTATGTATAAAATTTAAATATTTCAACCGTTATAAGTCTTAGTGCATCGGTACACTAGGGGTGCATCGGTACACTAATTACATTTGATGTTTCAAACAAGCCAGGAGTGCATCGATGCATGGTCTACCCATCAGTACACAAAATGCATTCGATGTTACAAAATATTCAAGAGTGCATCGATGCATGGCTTGTGCATCGGTACACAAAATGCATTCGAAATGGGTGTGTATCGATGCATCAAATAAGTGCATCGGTACATCCCTTCATAAAATTTATTTTTGGTTCGTTCTTTTGGTTCGAAATACTTTGTGAAAATTGTGTCAAAAATATTTTAAGTTTAAAACACAATTTTACACTTTAGTAAGGATTGAAATTGATCTTTCAAAAACTTGGAGTAATATTTTGATATTCGAATAATTGAATCGAATATACTTTAAAAATAATTGTAAAATCTTAAAATTCATTTATGAAACTATATTTTCAACAAATTTATACTTAATTTGTTATATCGAAACATAAAAAATGTTTTCAACATATATGAAACTATATTTTTGGTCACTATCATTGTACTCTACATAAACCCATACTGGAGAAGAGCACGCTAAGAATTATATATTTACACTATATTTAGGTGGGGTTTTTTTTCTGATTAATCTGAGAGTAAATACAATATATTATCTCTTTAAAGATAACTCTCAACCATTTGACATTAAACACTTACACCTCTAGCATTCTTAGTGCTCGAACCCAATACCTCAATAAATAACAATAATTCATCTACATTGAGGTCACAATATATAAAAAATAAGGGTTAAATTAAAAAAATAATAAACATTATGGATTAAATTGAGGGTAAAGTATAGTAATGGGCACTGAACTTTTCTAAAGCTTTCATTTAGGTCCCCCAACTTTAAAAACTTGCAATACAGTCCCCCAACATTTAGTCTGTTTGTAATATGGTCCCCAATAGTTACGTCAGGGACCATATTGCAAACGGACTAAATGTTGAGGGACTATATTACAAACGAACTAAATGTTGAGGATTATATTGTAAGTTTTAAAAGTTAGGGGACCTAAAAGAAAGCTTTAGAAAAGTTAAGTGACCATTACTATACTTTACCCTTTTTTATCATTTCCCATGCTTAAATGAACAAGTAATTTGCATACTATACGTAAACTCAGAAAAAAAAAATATTCCTACAAGATTTCGATTTCGTCAAGGAATTACCATGTTATAAAGATTACAACATAAAAACGTGATGATTTTAATCTCCCATCTAAGTAACGAAAAGCTTAAAACCCTAAACATATGGATGTGCTCAAGCATTTTGAACCCTAGCTGGTAAGGCACCCATTAAATCTGGGTACTGAAAGATATCATCTAACAAGAAGTCTTGACCTACTTGCAGGTATTTCGTTAGTACTTCATTAGCATAGGGCACCGATTCTGAGCTAGTGACTCCACTGAAACTCTCCAACTATTGAGGGAATCCTTAATTGTAATCAGCATTATAAAAACCTAAATGTTCATTCTTCAACTCGGTTACAGGAACTGCTATTGAATGCTGAGTGCAGTTCGAGGTAACTTTATGTTCACCTGATTTCTTCGGTAAGAACCCTTGAATTATTTCCTGCAACAAGCCGGAATCTGAAGGCTCCTGCGGGAAGAATTCCATATCATCGACGGTTTCCTTGAGAGTGTGCGTCATGGTTGTGTCAGTGAAAGAATTGGATACGCTATCGGTTGTGCTTCGAGTAATGTTGTTGGTAAAGGATTTCAACAAAGATGTACAGGGAAAAATGCTTGAATTAGCTGGAAAAGTGAAAGAAATCGAAGAAGAGGAAGCATTTCCGTGGACTAATGGAATATAGTCCGCCAGAGACTGAGGAGGCGGTGCGTGGAGAGATGAATTCAAGAGGTTGCGGAATAAAACCATGTTCAGAGAAGCATTTCTTTGAGCAGAAGACCCAATGGAGAAGTCATCGAAATGTTGATTTGCTAGCGATGACCAGTTAGAAGATTGGCCAAACTTATGGCGGATGCAGTAAATGTCCCTGCTGGATGACTGTGACTATATCGGGAAGGTAAAAGGTGGAAGGAAATGATCGCTCACTGAGTGAGGCCCCGTCACCGGGTAGACGAAATTGGTTCGAGCCTTGATCCCACGCATAGATCAAGCTGCACAGTCGTAGGATCATGCAGCCTCCTTGGAGGTGTCAAAAGTCCCGAGCCAACGTCGTTCCATGGACTGGGGGTCTCGTATCTCAGCAGCTAACGTCCCCACGGCCTGCGGTGAACACCACAGTACCTCATTGTTCCACCGGAGCCACCATTTCCTTTGAGAGACCTCTTGTTCGCCGCTCTGGCGGCGGCGGGAACAGCGGTATCTGTTGAGGCGGCTGCGCTTTTCTTTGTATAATTAGTGATGGAGTCACTGGCATTTGGGTCGGAGACATAAGTCATGCCCAGTAGGCTCTTAAATATTTCTTCCATTAGCTAAAACTAGGAGAGAAGTACACAAGGAATCAAAGACAACAAAGAAGATTGGAGATTGGTTCCTGGAATTCGGATCGTGGTGGATGGTACTTTGCATCACCATATATGCTTGTATTTATAGTCAAATAAACACTGGAAGAAAATCTACAGAAAGTGACCCTTTTTATTCATGTTTTACACAAACAAAATAAAAAAAAGGTAGTGTTTGAATTTTAAATTAAGAATTTATATCTTTATGTAACTTATATATTAGGTTAAAGTATAGTAATGATCACTGAACTTTTTAAAACTTTTTCATTTAGGTCCTTAACTTTTAAAACTTATAATATAATCCCCAATATTTAGTTCGTTTGCAATATAGTCCCTCAACATTTAGTTCGTTTGTAATATGATCTCTGACGTAACTATTGGGGGATCATATTGCAAATGGACTAAATGTTAGGGGACTGTATTGTAAGTTTTAAAAGTTGAGAGACTTAAATGAAAACTTTAGAAAAATTTAGTAATCATTTCTATACTTTACCTTTAAATTTATCACTGTAGGAAAAGCCGAAACAACAGATAAGCATCTTTATTTTTCAGCAAAAGCGAATTTGGTCCAATTGAGAAATCCGAAGCTTATTTAATTATAAGCCCACTGAGGGGTATTTTTGTAAAAGCGAAAAAAGTTATCGTTACAAATCCTCATCTTATAAGCAGATATGGAATTCCTCTCTTTCGAAATATATTTCAAAGAAGATAACAAACAAATCCAAAAAACAAAGCAAAGCGCCTTAATCAGTGATTCAAAAGCAAGAAGCATCGACTCGGAAAAAACCCATTGTGAGTTTCTTCTCTTTACCCTTTTTACGAGTTTTAGTTTGTGTTTAATGTCTTGATGAAGTTATTTTTCATGAAATTTTTCGTTTGTTTTAATGGAAGAAACACATATAAGTAAGATCTGTATTATCAGAAAGAAAACTTATCAAAGTATTATATGTTTTTATGTTTTCCAAACTTAGTCTGAGAATGCAAAGGCAATTTAAAGTATTTGTCATGGAAAAAAAATGAAAACAGGAATTTCTGTGTGGTTGTTGAGAAACAAATGGAAAAAAAGAAATAAAAAAATTTCCAAGAATGACCTGTAAGTTTGTTGTATCCTATGTTTCTCTTTTCCCTTTCTGGGTTTACTTTTGTGGGGCTGATTTGTTAGATATGACTCATAAAATATACCGGTAAAGAAGACAGAGGACGGAGAGTGAGTCAAGCCAACACAACGAACATCATATTTCCTTACAAAGAAAATCTCGTAGTAAGGGTTATGATCCGTAGTACGGTACATGGTTATTTTTGTAAATATATACCAGAGTTTATTTATAAAAGGAGATGTAACTAAAAACTTAAAAGATATTAAATGAAAAATCTAGCGCTGCCCAGAGCAACCAGGACGTAAGCACATTGTTGAACTTCATTAAAATTCTTGTGTTCTTTTCGTTTTTTTTACCCGATTATTCAACATGATTTTATTATCTTGGGGCTTGTAGTGAATGAAAAACACGGAGAGGAAATATAATTACTAGATTAAAGAACTCCTCCACTGTATCATCATTAGAACAGAAAGGACAAAATGGATCATTTTAAACTATATGAACATGATTATTCTAGCTTCTTTGTTTGTCTTTTCCTTTGTGATTATCATGTTCGGTTTTTCTCCCATCCTGCTCACCACATTTGTCTTAGATACCGAAAGATTTTTGGGTTTTGCAAATTGAGTTTGGATTTTACATGCATTTTTCATTTTGAACTAAGTAATACTCTTGATTCATGTGCTTCAGATGAAGCTTTAATGTAAAAAGAGCATTTCAAAGATACTTCAGATTTTTCTGTAGGATTTAGCATGCTTTCTCCAATATTGCTTGTTTGATTTGATTTTCCCACGTATATGAATGATTCCCTATGTATTGGAACCTCACAGGTACTGTTGGTTTGGTGGATTGTATCAGCAAATTTCCAAAATGGCAACACGTACTGTTGGTTTGATTCAAAATCAGAATTTAAATGCTCGGTTCAATGGTACTATTCTCAACACTTTCTGATCTGTTGTTGGTTTTATTAATTTTGTTTCTCAAGTTGAGTTTGATAATGGAAAATGCTTCCTATCAGGCAAGACCAATGTCTTTAAAGCACAAAGGAAAGCTGGTATTGGTGGAAGAAAACCACTTGGTGATCTATCCAATTCATTAAAGTGCAAGGAACTGGAAGGAGAGCTCTCTCTGACATTTCCAACTCAGGTTCCAACTCAGGCAAGCCATACTCGCAAGGAACGTCAAAGAAGAACCAAAAGGCAAAGTTGGGTAATCCAGAAGAGGATCTATGTCAACTCGAAGATATTTCAGAGGAAGGGTGTCGGCAAAATCATGAAGATTGCATCAAAACACAGAAAAGAGCTATAAGCACTAATGATTTTTTGCGGATTCTTGGATTAGATGGTAAAGAAATTTGCTAGGCATTCATATGTTTACTTCGCGTTAGTATTTGATGACTGAATACTCACACCTTTGTATTCATTTTTTGTTCAGATTTCTCCAAACATTCAGCATCTGCAAAGGAATATTCATTGTCAAACATATTGGAGGTAAAACATTCAAATCATTTTAGCTGTCTCGTAGCTTTAGCATATGTATTGTCTTTAGAATATTGGTTTCACTTATGTTACAGCCTATGAGTCCCCCAAGGTATGCTGAATCGAAACAAGATGACTGCGATGCTGATCGAAGAGCCATCTCCTCCAAAACATATGTTAAGGAAATTCGACTCTTTTGCAGCTAGTCCAGAGCCATTGGAACAGCATATGCAGTGGGATGATCCTAAGTACATTCCCAGTTTCAAGCTGCTAAAAGAATCACCATAATGGTGAAAAGCATTGCTTTTGCTATTAGCTGTAATCCATGTATGACAATTTCTTTCATTGCAGTTGTTTTGCTAGTAGGAAAACCTTAAACAAGTGGCAACTTGAGTTGCATTCAGGTTCAGGTTTGATATGAAATGAAAGCTGGTTGAATGGCTTCTATATTAAAAACCAGATCCTTTAACTTTTAACACAATATGACATCAACATGAATTATAATACCAGAAGAGAAAAAAAGATTAGAATATGAAGATAGTAGGAATTAGAGCTGTCCACCGCAGAATTTACTTAAGTCAAATTTGATGCATCCTTTGACGAGATGATGAAGGTAGCAGGAATCAGAGCTTTGGTGAGCAAGGAAGCACGGGGACAGTTGGGGTACATATCGGGGACGTGCCACGGTGGCAAGGTACAGCTGAACGACGCCGGGGACGTTTCATCGAGTCCTGGGACGTTTCGGGGACGGCATTTTTGACTTTTTCAACGTCGGAGGAGGTGGTGTCGAGGCTGTTGTTTGACTTGGCTACGTCGGCTAAAGCAGTAGCGTAGCTGGAAGCTGCTGTGGCCGACATTCTGGCACCGCCGTTGAGGGGGCGAGAGGCGGAAAGTCTGAGGGAAGGGAAAGTGGCTGAGAATGAGAGGTTGAGGGAAGGAAGAGCTCTGGTGAGCTGGGAAGAAGGGAGGAGCTTTGATTGAATGGCGATTGAAGTTTGTTGAAGGGAAGCCATTGATGAAAGATTGAAACTTTGGGATGAAAGATTGGAACTTTGGGAAGATGAGGAAAATAGAGGAAGAAAAAAGGGGGGATTTTGATTTCTGGAAATTAAAAGGGGGTTATCTTGAATTGGAAGAGGAGGGCCACTTATTGGATTGTGGGAGATAAAATCAAATGGTGACTCCCACAAGCATTTTAGCAGCCTATCAAGTCTTGACAAAAATAATATTTTGTTAATTGATAAATATTCAAAGGATAAATTGTGTTTAGTATCTAAACTATTAATGTTAATCCATTTTATTATTTATTTTTTTATTTTTTTAGAATTATATCTAAAGTATAGTTTTTGTTTCATTTTAGTTTTTACCTGGAATTCATAACTTTTTCTTTTTTAATATTTTAGTTTCAAGGAGATTTAGAACTTAGAAATATTCTCTGTTTCGTTTTCACTTTAACAACATGCGTGTTCTGAAGGTATAAAGTTACGGATAGAATTTATAAATATTCACGACTCGCGAGCTTGAAAAATGTTTGAGTCTTAAGATTTGACACTTTAATATTATGATTTTATTATGGATTTTATTATTCTAGAGTTAATATTATGGTTTGAATCTTGAAATTTGACATTTTAATATTGTTGTTTGTTTATGGATTTTACTACTATAAACTTAATATTGTTGTTTGAGTCTTGATATTTGACATTATTTATGATTTTTTTATATATATTTATAATTTTAAAATTATTTTATATGTCGTACCCTTGCCGTCCCCGTACCCTGTAATTTTCAAAATTGTCGTTTCCCGTCCCCGTCCTCGTATCCGTATCCGTGCAACATAGTTGGTGAGAGACTGCAATGGAAGGTTGATTGACAGAGCCAATAAACTGGTACAAACCTCATCAACACCGGTCGATGAATTAGGCTTGGTTCTCACTTAGCCAATTGCAGCATGTGGTCATTGACAACTCTCTTATAATTTATAGCTAGAAAGCTACCAGCCCTTGATTGTGGGAGGCCAAAGCCATCCAAGATGATACTTTCTTTAAACTATGTTGATGGAACTAGTTTGAATTGGAGGCCTTTTGCAGAATTTTATGTTTTGTGTGAGTTTCAGTTGGATCTAGTAGAAAATCGATTCTAAGCCTTGCTTTTTACCTGGAGACTTTGGTGTGAGACGTTTTAGTTGGTGTTGGAGTTTAAACTCTTTGTATTTTACTGCTAATAGTTGTTTATTCTTTTAATAAAATTATCTGATTGAATTAAAAAAATGGTTAAACGAATTCATCTTTATTAACGAACAAGCTTGGTTATTAAAATATTAATAGAAAATGTTATAATTAGAATAAAATGACTAAAGATTTTAAAAATATCTATAGAATGCAGATAAATTAAAACGAGGTTCTTTTTGGGGGAAAAAGAGGCCTCGTTAAAATCCTCCCTTATATCAGAGTTCAGAACTTACTACTCAAACTGCAGAAGTCTAAAAATAGTGTCCAAATAGTTTATTAATACTAAAAAACTATTACATTATCTGTTCAATACAAGCCATGACCCTGGTATGTTGATGATTTTGTCCAACGCACTGCAGGTTCATCTTCGTCACAGTTGAGCCCTGGAAGATGGATGATATTGAGGATGAGGATGAAAAACCTCTTCTCCCATTTACCCTAGTATGTTTTGTTGTTGTTGTGGTTCATGTAATGAAAAGGTTGGCGATAGATAACTATGCACAGTGACATTCTGTAAGCTCATTGCATAATCTCTTGCTCGTTGAAAGCTCTCTAGCTTCGTCGTCGGCATAGTTAACCGATGGGAGGGTTCTTTTGAGAGAGTTAACAATGGAGTCATCTTCATCATGGTTGGATGTTTTTTTTTCTTTTTCTTGTAGATTAAACAAAACACCCAACATTCAACCTATAAACCAAAATCAACAAACCAAATAGAAAAAAGAAACTAGTGTAAACACTAATAATCTTTGTTAACAACGTAAACAATAATATCTATGTAAACAACATAATTGATCATCGTTTAGAAGAGAAAACTCATTCATGATCCAATGTCCATTTTCGATATCATAGGAATATTTTAACTTGAGACCTAAAAATTTTCTTTTTCCCAACTTGAATATTGTTTGAATCCATAACATGATCTATTACCTTTCCAAATACTCGAATTGGCGATTCAATCGTTCTTTTTCCCTTGTGCTTCTTCTTCAACTTGGTGAATACATAAAAGGTTTCGGACGTGGTCTAACCAAAAATCTTCCAAGACTCCTTATTTTCGTCAACATATATTTTGAGTCGTGCATGTAGTTACGGCAAGATAATGGCTCACCTTTTGCTTCTTTGAGTTACGACAAGGTAATGATTCACCTTTTTCTTCTTTGAGTCACGAAAAGGTAACGGCTCATCTTTTGATTATTTGAGAGGTAAATGTAATGAGTTCATTGTGAGTTGCTATGAACTGAAAACCTGGAGAAATCTTCGTTGTGTATTCATTGGAAGCCATAACTCTTCGGTGTGGGATAGTCAAAAGCTTCGATCTTTATGTGGTATTCAAAAAATATATAAATCTAAAAAATGACAGAGCGTCCAAATGTCTCTATATTTATATCAAGCGACTCATGATCAATTTTTTAAGTTTAAGCTAAAAATCCCTAAATTATTTTTTCTTTTGTTTATTTAAGCTCTTAAACTATGAAAAGTTCCGGATAAATTTTACAATTTTTTTTACAAAAGCATGTGAACTATAAATAATGTGGTTATGATTTATTTGTCAAACAAAAGCATAAGGTACAAAATGTGTTTAGGTAGGACCTATTAAACCATGTTTGGATAGACAACATATGAGGGTAGATTTTATTGATTAAAGATGATTCTTACTACTTTATTGATACGAACTCATTTTATACTTTTGTTTATCTTTTTCTTGTATTTGTATGGACAACATGTTAGGGTAAATGTTATTCGTTAAAGATAGTTCTTACTATTTTGTTGATTATCTTATTAATACTAACTCATTTTCTAATTTTGTTTTTTTTCTTGCATTTGTATCATAATCACATTTGCATCATCATGAAAAAAGTGGTTACCAAAAGCACATTATTTTTATTTTTTAAATTGAATTTTTTAAAATTATTTTAAAAGATATTTTTAGGCATTTTGCCTACAAAACTCAAAGGTCGATGACGACTCCAAATTTATTTATTTTTCCAAACACGATCTTTAAAATTAAGTTGGATCGCTATCCGTCTAATAAAAACTTAAGAATCATTCAGACAAACTTAAAATAAACTAAGACTTGACCAGAAAACTTAAGAAGAGAGAACAATTTTATTAATGCAATTATTTTATTACACATTTACCCACTATTTTTCTCTTCTTTACCTCTAAGCTTTATTTATTTAACTCACCCCTATTTATAGATTCTAGTGACAATTAGATTGTTTACATATATAGACATCTTAGTCATTTAATATAGATATATAAATTATTCTATAGATAATTCTAGACATGATACTAAATATTATAAATATATAGATTATTTTATATACATTTCTAGAAATATACTATTTTTATATTGTTTTAAAATATTCTCAAGATGTATATATCTTAAATGATACTTATATATTTCCTTAGAAGTTGCATTGATTTTCGAATGGAATTTCTCTACCGCCTTATTGTGCCCTTAATAGTGCCCTACCCATTGTTTTGAGGCATGTGGAATATTTTAATTTGTAAAGGGTAAACTACAGAATTGATCACTATCATTTAAGTTTTATACATTTTTCTCAACAAATTCAAAATAACATAATATTTATTCACTTTCGTTATTATTTAATTAATATGTGGTCAATAAAAGTTAACTATTGTTAGATCTTTAACGAATTGCTCATGTGATATAGTGAATATATAAAATAAAAAAGAATAAAATATACATATAATCATTAATATTTGAGTAAATTTTTATTTTCCTACAAAATATCTAAAATTTCTTTCTCAGACCAACCTGTTGAATCTCTCCTTAATTGGAGATGTTCTAGAAAATTCTAGATCTTTCTAGAGAAGTGTAGAATTTTCTAGAACATTATGGAGAACTTTAGAGAAGTGTAGAACTCTCTAGAATCTTGTGGAAGAGTGTGGAATCCTCTGGAATATTCTGGAGATGTGTAGAAGCTTGTGGAAGAGTGTGGACTCCTCTGGAATATTCTGGAGATGTGTGGAACCTTATGGAAGAGTATGGATGAATATGGAAGGGAGTGGAAAAGTGTAGAGCTCCTAGAGTGTGTGGAGCAATCTAGATAATTAATCTTCACCCTTGGATGTATGTAATCTCCACCATTTATTGTGGAGGTGGAGTAGTATAAATAGGGGTGAGAGACTTCATTCCTAACCATCCAAAATCCAAGAACACTCACAGAGTCCACTTCTTAGAGTGAGAGACTAAAGAGTTAGAGAGCCTATTTGAGAGAGAAGAGAGATAGCTTGGGAAGTCTTTATCCTCAAGCTTGAGTGAGCCACCAAGTGTGAGTCAAATTTTGTGAACACATCCTTGTAATCCTACTATTCTTTTGTATAGTGGAAGAATCTCCAAATTGGAGAATTATACTCTTGTGCTCTCTTTACTATCCTTAATCTCTAAGTGTCTATCTTAACTTCATGAAGCGGGAAAACCATGATTCCCAACAGTGGTACCAGAGCTAGGTTTATCTGTAGTCGTAATTAGCTCGTGCAGTTCATGATGGAGGATAACGTTGCTCATGATGGAGACATGTTCAAGCTCACAGCCAATAACTACTCATATTGGAAGCCGATGATGGAGGACCACCTGCACTACAAGGATTTACATGAGCCCATCATCTACAAAGACAATGTAGAAGGCAAGAGTGATGCTCAATGGGAGCTACTAAATCGGAAGGGCGTTCCTATGATTCGTAAGTACATTGATAAAACCCTCTTTGAGCATGTTTATACTTATACAAATGCTTATGAATTATGGACAAAGCTTGAGTCCA